CAGTTTTTCAGGGTACATCAGTCTAGGTCATAAATCATTTTCTTTTAGGATCTGAAATACTTCACTCCATGCTCTTCTTAATTTTATTGTTTGTGCTGAGAAGTCTGCTGTGATTTTGATAGGTTTTCCTTTATAGGTGATCTGTCTTTTCTCTCTGACAGCTTTTAATATTATATTCTTTTGTTCAGTTTCTGGGATGGCAATTATTATTAGTCTGCGTGTAGTTTTATTTTGGTTATGTCTATTTGGAGTTCTATATGCTTCATTGATCTTGATAACAGTTTCCAATATGATGTTTGGGAATTTTTTAGCTATTACTTCTCTAAATATTCTTTTGACATCCTTTATGTTGTCCCCTTCTTTTTTCATTTATCCCTATCAACCTTATGTTGTTTCTCTTTGTGTCATCTTGCAGGTGTTGAATTGTTATTTCCTGATTTCTTGTTATTTTTAAAAGATCTTTCCTTTCCTGTTCATTGGCTGCAATCTTGTCTTCGAGTTCTGAAATTCTATCTTCAAATTCATTGAGGCGGTTTTAAAACTTTCAATGGAGTTTTTGATTTCCTGTATATCTCTTTGCATCTGCTTTATATATTCTATTTGTTCCTTATATTGTTCATCTAGGGATTCTATCTTTTTGTTTAGTTCCTCCAATTTTTTAACTGTGTCTTCTTTAGATATGCTCATCATCTCCTTCATTTCTTTTATCATTTTTTCTTTTACCTGAGAGATTATTTCTAGTTTGAATTCCTTTAAGGCTTCCCAGAGTTGTTTCTTTATTTTGGTTACTATTATTTCAGGTATTTCAGGTATGTGGCCTGTATTTTCTTCTATGTACATGGCTCCTAGGCTTTCTTGGGATGGGCTGGATGTTTGAGACTGCATTTTGGTCTTTGGTTTTGTCATTTTCCTGTATTTTCGAGCATCAAGTGTTGTTCCAAGCTTCCCCTGGGCGTGTTGGAAAGTGTCTCTTATGTCCTGCACTCCTGGGACTCCTCTGATAGTGTAGCTACCTCCTTAGGCAGCAAAGCCCCCAGATTAAGAGAAGGTTGCCAAGCTCCTCTCAGGTAGACCTAAAGCCTCTTCAAGCTATACAGCTCTCCCCTGTGGCAGCAGAGCTTCCCTCTTCAGCAGGGCTGCTCCTTCCTCCAGGCAGTGGCATTAGTGCTGGAGCTCTCCAGGCTGAAAGAAAGTCACAGGTAAGGTCGGAGCAGTTTCCCACAGCTTGGCCCAGTTCCCTCCTTCAGGTGGGGCAGCTGCCCTGTGCCCTCCAGCTGAGAAAGGGTGGTCGGCAAGGCTGTAACGGGGTCCGGCGGCTCAGCCCACCTCACTGTTTCAGGCAGGAAGCTGCAGCATGTCCCCCAGGCAAGAGAGAGGTCTGCCAGTCTGGAAACAGGGTCCGTGGTTAGGCCCGCCTTACTGTTCCCGGTGGAACAACTTTTCTAAGATGACAATATGTAATCTATTAACTAGTGATTTCTTACTGTTTATGTTTTTAAAATTCTGTATTACTTGTACCCTTTTTCTGTTTTTTTCTTTTTCTCTTTAGATTTGTTAACTGTGATAGTTTCCTTATTTCTGACTCATTTTACTCATGCACACTAGCACATCCTCATCTTTTACATGCTAGTATTAGCAAATGATAGCTTGAGATAATTTTCCTCTATTGTAATGTAAACAAATTTTTATAAAAAAAGGGTAAGATACATTAGTGTATGTGTACTTCAGTGAGAATGCATAAGTGTGTGTATGTACACCTGTGTGTGTGTTTGCCTATAACGGACTTTGGACTCAGATGGGTATGGATCCTGGTTTCACTCTGCACCAGTTGCAAGACCTAAGGAAGTTACATAATTTCTTTGAATCTCAGTTTCCTCATCTATAAATTGTAAACCATTCAGTATGAGTGATTGTTTTGTCTACACTACTAAGAGCTGCCCGATTTTATATGTCAGCTTATTGAGATTGTGGTGCCCGGTCGCATGGCCAAATACTAAAGTACATGTTTGTAAAAGTATTTGTGAATATGATCAATATTTATAATCATACTTATGTAATACAAATGATCCTCCATAAGTATAGTTGAAATTCATCTAATAGATTGAGGATTTTAACAACAAGACAGGATTCCAGAGAAAGAAGCAATTCTGCCTTGAGGTTGCAATATAGAAATTCTCCCTGAGTTTTCAGTCTCTAGTACTGCCTTATAGATTTGGAATTTACCACTTACCTGGATCGCATAAGTCAAAGTCTTAGGCACACACATGCACACCATACTGACTATTTTGTGGAGAATTATGACGAAGATACTATCCTATGTTTCTATTTGGATAAAATGTGAAGTTCATATAATTCATGCATATCATAAGGACTCAGTCTTACACATTAGGTTAATTGTACTTTACACATGAGGTTAAAAGTACAAAAGTCTTTTGTATTTTGCAGGGGGTTGAGAAAGGGTAGAAAAGTAACCAAGGTTAGAGTCTCCCAAGAGGAAATAGCTGTAAATGTTGATCTGCCTTTTGTCACAAATATCCCACAGAAGCTGCTCAGAACAAAAAAAAAAGCAAAAGAAACAGAAAATTAATGCCTAGTATGTCATTAGCTGTCCCCTGGCCCAGATCCAGGCCAGGAAAGTTCTCTCCCTCCATCAGAGGAGAGAGCCATATGTCAGGTGCAGTCACTATACTTTAAACCAGAGCTGCTGGCCCAGTTTCTGGAAATCATCTCACAGCAAACTCTGGGCCAAACTGTTCATCCCTTGGATTCTGGGATCTGAAGAGTAAGTCAAGAGAAACGTTCAAAAATAACTTCCTCAGAAAAAACACCACAAAAGTGAGTAAGGCTAGGGCTTGAAAATGCAGTATCTTAAATACCATCACCCCTCCTTATTATAATTGCCAAAGGAAACTTAAACCAAAGTTAGTTCAGTCTTAGAGTTGACATTATTCTCCTAAGACAAGTTGGCACAATATTGTTTCTCAACAGCTAGAATTTAACATTTTCATCTCTCTGTATGTTCTCTAACAGCTTTCTTTTGTGGGTTAAACTAGGAAAATTCTACCAGAGAACACCCTGAATTTTACAGCCATTGCTTAAGAAAGCACAGTTATAATTTTTTACTATAAAATTAAATCAGTTTAAAACTTCAAAATTTGGCAGCCTGCTTCATGTGTCAAAACCTATTCCAAATATGTGACCAGAGAAGAAAGAAGGGATAGGTACCTTCATACTTATTAGGAGAGAAACTGGGTTGCTAATTCTTCCTGAGAGAGATCTGGTAACATAAGCCAAAATGTGAGTGATTTTTTTAAGTCTATGTTTCCACTTAGAATTATCTAAAAAAATAATAGGACAAATATTCAAAGATATATGCATGGGAATCATAATTGCAATGTTGAATGCAGCATAAAATAAAATCAGCATAATTTCACAGAATGAGCATCTAACAGTGAAATACTCTACAACTACTGTAAGTGAATTGTGTAAAATTATTATATGTCTATATTGTATGAAGCAGAAAAAGGGGCTTTTGGAGTGCTCTTATTTTGTTTTTAATGAAACTTGTATCTGTATGTAAATCCAGAAAAACATACCGGAAGTTTTAAATGTTTATCTAGGTTGTCAGATGAAAGTATTTTATTATTTTTAAAAGAATGATTATTTTCTGGATAAATACTCCATTGGCTTTTATAATCTGGAAACAATAGCTACTTGAAAATCTAACTCTAAATTAACACAAATATTTATTTTTATATTTAAAAGAAAATTATAATTTTGGAAATTGAGCAAAGGAATTAAAAATCACTGAAAAAATTCACAAATAGAGATGGATTTTCTCAGATTCAAACAAAATGGATTCTCTGAAATCTAAGGAAACTGCAACAAAATATTCTCATGCTCAATCATCATGCGAAGAAGAATGTAGGTTGACATCTATACTACTACAGAGCGTATTTACAATTCTCTTTAAATCTCTGTCAGAGCATGAGCAGTTTGTCAATGAATTAGTTAAATGTCATGAGGATGGTTTCCAAGTACTGTCTGTCACTGGCTCTATTATGTGCAATTCGACAAAGTTTTGTTATCATCTCATTTGGGGCTATTTTTACATCTTAAGTTTGCATAGAGATTTCTCTCTGGATATTTTCCCACTGACCTAAAAGCAAGCTCTTCTAAAAACTAAATTCAAGCCAGATACACTTTATTGTATGCTCAGTGATAAAGGAAACTCAGTCATTTCAGAAGAAGTAGAACAGGAAAACACCTGGTATTTGTCTATCAAGACAAAAAACCCTAAAATGTAGTAATCTTTCTGCTCAAGGAGTCCAACTGTAAACAGATAGGTGTAATGAGATCTTACAAGTTGCAAGTCTTCTAAATTGTATTAAAAGGTGATAATAAAATTAATGTAAATAATTAATCAATAATAAAGATTCAACAACAGATAAGGCAGGTCTGAGCAGCCCTCTGTCTGTCCAAATTTAGTTTTTACATTTCTATGAAGTTGGGAAATGGAAATGGGCTCTAGCGAGGAGCTGGGTAAAAAATAATTTAAAGGACAAAACTCACTGCTAGGTAGAAAGATATAATATGTTTCCAAGTATTATATCACATCTTATCTCTATTGATTGTCATTAATCTGCCATGAATACAATCCAAAGTTGCCATGATACTTCACAAAGAGTGAATCCAAGCCCAACTCCTCTTGTGAATCATCCTTAAGACTCAGGAAATCTACCTTTGTGCAGGTTGGTGTAATCTCAGTTTACTAATCGTACAAATAATGCATATGAAGATCAGTCAAAAATTATACTTCTTGGTTGGGAATATAGCACAGTGGTGCAGTGCCTGCCTGGTAAATATGAGGTCCTGAGTTCAATCCCCTGTATAAAACATTTTTAAAATTAGCACTTCACAAAACAGTAGAAAAATACAATATCCTTCAACTTACATATGGTGGAGTAGGGTCAGATAAACATATCATACACAAAATGCCGTTAAGTCAAAAATATATTTAATACACGAACCTACCAAACATTACAGCTCAGAAACACAGTACATACTCACACTCATTTATTGATTGTTCACACTTGTGACTGCAGGCCTGATTAGTGTGGTTACCAGTATCCCAATTATCTACTGTTAGCTTGAAATATCGAAATTCCGAACTCCAAGTACTTTTCTCTGCTGGATGTGTATCAGTTCTGCACCACTGTAAAGTTAAAAATCATTAGCTCAAATCACTTTAAACCAGGTGTAGTTCATAATAACCATTTTAAATTATTTTTACTCCTGAAGTCCTTTGTGGAGTTCTAGAACCCCCAAAATAATGCTATCTTACGTAATTTACTCATAGCAAGAGATCTTCAAGTTTACAAAATTCTTCAAAGATATACTTCTTTTTTATAACAAGGTCTGCAAAAAAACAGAAAACAGCAAATTTAAACATTACTAAATATTTGTAATTTTCTTTTTTTTTTTTTTTTTTTTTTTTTTTGTACCAGGCATAAAACTCGTAACCTTGCACTTGCCAGGCAGGCGCTTTTGCTGCTGAGCTAAATCCCCAGTCCTATTTGTAATTTTCTACTGTGCATTTTTTTCCACAAAACCCTACTGGGTTGTATAACAATGTGAATATACTTAGTGTCAATGAATTTACACTTTAAAATGATGAAAAGTGAAAATTTTCAAGTTGAGTCTCTCTCTGAATTATAGTCATTTATTAAAATTTAGATCTATGCTCAGGCTATGCAACAAGTTTCCTGCCCGCCTTTTCTTTTCAATGGGCTATGCATACTCATACCAAAATGGTCACAGTGCTATGTGTTGCTTTTACCTTTCTACTGTTCTGCAGGCCCAACTTTTCTACTGCAGCGGTTGCTCCACACCTGCCTCATGGGAGATGCAGCCTCACAGAACATTTCCTGAATGTACCAACATTTCATGTACTAGGGCTTCCCTACCATTACTTCCTAGGACACCTGTGGAAACCCCTTGACATTTGGATTGGTGTACACCACCGAAGTACAAGAAATTAACATCACGTGGGAGATCAGGTAAACGTTTATGCATGGCTCATTCGGTAGATTCCTGAATGCAACATATCTCTGTGCAATCATTCCTCAGTATCCTTAGGGGATTGGTTCCAGGATACACCACCACCTATACACACACACACACACACACACACACACACACACACACACACACACAAAGGGAGAGAGAGAAACAGAGAGAGACACACACAGAGGGAGAACAACACCTGAGAATGTTCCAGTTCCTTATGTAAAATGTAAATGGCACCTATCCATATTTGGGTAAAACCTGTGCACATCCTCCATTCATTTTAAATAATTTTTAGATTACTTACAATATGCAATTACAATGTGTGAGTCCTGCACAAGAAATTATAATGCACTGTACAGAAAATAAAGAAGTCTGTACATTCTCAGTATTAACAAATTTTTCTCAAATATTTCTGATGTATAGCTGGTTTAGTCACAGAATGTAGAACCCACAGATAAGAAGCCTGACCCTGTGTGTACATATATTTGTACGCATACTTTTGTATATGAAGCATATAACATCATTGGAAATACAACTAAGAACCAAGTGGCATTGTTGCTTCCAGAAAAAGAAACCAAATATCTGGAAGACGATGGGAAAAGGTGAAATTTCGATGAGTATTTTTTTTTATGATTTTCAAATTTTGGATCATGTGAAAATGTTACCTGTTTAAAAGACAAATAACATTTTAAAAATAAAATAAATCAGAATTAGAGGTAGGGAATCTTATTTGATATGAGAAGACCTAAATATTCAGGCTAATTCCACTCATATCAAGTAGAGGGGAGGACATTAAATTAGATATGGCAGTGTTGTAAATGAGAAAATACCTAAGACAGTCAAGCCTAACACAACTGACCAAAAAGGATACGTTTAATGAAAGGAATAGTATTAGTATTTCAGAAAACAAGCATTGTACTATTTTGGTTGTTTTGGACATTACATGAAGGAATGTAAAATTGTCGATTAGAAGCTATTTGTGGTGCAGTCAAATTGACTACTCATCAAAAGCGGTGGAGAGCTGGATATTACACCTCAAGCTATTAAGCTGAGAAGGGCATTTTAATTTTCTCTGTTATTGTACACTGAAGTCTTGATGTGGAAGAATTTTCAAGTGAATTCAGACAGACCTGTGTGATCACTCAAAGTAAACAAGTCCTTATATCAAGAACATATAAAAAAAATTGAAAAACATCAAGCCCCTCAAACTCAAAGACCCTCTCCAAAAATGGGCACCTGAGATGGTCACACAGTTCTCAGATGAAGATATACAAATGGCAAATAAATACATGAAAAAATGTTGAGCATCACTGGTCATTCAAGAAATGCAAATTAAAACAGCATTGGGATCTCATCTCACTCTGGAAAGAATAGCTGCCATCAAGAAATCAATTGATAACAAATGTTGGTGAGGCTGCGGGGAAAAAGGAACACTGATCCACTGTTGGTGGGAGTGTAGACTGGTGTAGACTCTATGGAAATCAGCATGGAGAATTCTCAGAAGACTAGTATTGGAAGTTCCATTCAACCTAGCTATTCCCCTCCTGGGTATTTTCCCAGAAAAACTAAAAAGGTCATATCACAGTGATATATGTGTACCCATGTTCACACTTGTAACAGCTAAATCTTGGAAACAACCAAGATGCCCATCAACCACAGAATGGATGGAAAATATGTGGCATTTTTATACAATGGAGTATTACTCAGATATAAAAAAGATGATCTTTAGGCCTTCATAGGCAATGGAGACAACTTGAGGCTATCCTCATTAGTGAAATAAATAAGAATCATATTTATAAATATCACATTGTGTCTCTAGTGTAAAAAGTAGTAATAAGTGTAGGAGTAGTAAAACCCAAAATCTGTAATTGCTATTGTAAAAAAGAGAGGAAAAGAAAGTGCTCTAAAGTGCGTGTATGTTTAAGTGTGTAGGATTGATAACTGTATTATTAAGTTTTTGTTGGATAGTTGAATAAAACTGTTTGCAGTCTCGCTGTTTGAATATCCACTATGTATGCTTTACTTTTGTAACTTGAACAACTATTTCTAAGAGGACAATATGTAATTATCAACTAGTGATTTCTTACTGTTTATTTTTTGAAATTATGTATTATTTCTACCATTTTCCTGTTTTTTTCTTTAAATAAAAAAAGATAAGTCCTTGAAATTTTAGAAGGCCTGATTCTTTCTTAGTGCCACCTCAGACTCTGATCACAAAAACTCACAATTAGTGATCTGTTAGTGGGATTTGTATTGCTTGGAATTTTTTTTTATTTTCAGCTTCCATTTTTTGTCATTTTTGCAAGTCATCAATTTGCCAGAATATCAGGAATTTTATCCTGTTGCTATTGTCTCTGACAAATACAGAGTATATGTCAGCCACTACAAGTGCCCTCATAGGGAAATTTTAATACATGTACCAACGATACTAGCCAGATTATTTATTCTTCTGCATGCATAGTCAGCATCCAAGAATGGAAGCCAGTTCCACCAAACTTTTGTCGAAGCAGACTCAAAATTTTTGGAGTCTCTATTTTTGTCCAGGTTGGAAATTCCAAAAGACAGCTTTTTACCAGGAGACAAGGCAGCTCCAAAGTGACATTCTAATGTTTTCTTAAAGGTGGAGTTTACTTAGGTATTTTTTGACACAATATTGCTCAAGATAGGAACTGAATCGATCCCCAGTGTACCTGTTCTTACACTGTGAGACAAATTACTACACATTTAGCAGCTTACACATCTGCCTGATTTCCCAGAAGTGAGTTCAACTGGGTTCTCTGCTTAAGATTTACAAGGCTGAAACCGAAAATCTTGCCTGGAAGCTTTAGGGAAAAATCTGCTTGTTCAAGTGGTTGAAAGAATCAAACTCCATAGCAGCCATATGATAGAGGTCCTATTTCTTTGCCGGATGTCATCTGGTGATCATGCAGGCTTGCTCTGAAGTCTTCGTAAGTTGCGCCTTCCATCTTCAGTGACCATGATGGCAAAATGAATCCTCATGTTTCACATCCCTTTCTGCTTCCTGCCAGAACAAACTCTATTTTTCAGCAACTCATGATTAGATCAGACTCACGCTGATAACTTCCATTTTTCCACAAGATATCACAATGATGGCAGTGATTCTGGAGGGGAAGGTCACGAGAGCATCTTAGCATCTTAGCACTGATGTCTTACAGTGAACCTACCATTTGTGTGAGCATAGGATGCTTCTCCTTTGGAGCTATTATTAAATTTATAGGTCAGGTTTGTGAGTTCAGTAGACATAATCTTCATGCCTTTCCATCTATGTCTACTGCTATATTCAAATCAATAATTCTATCATTAGTTTTGAATAAAATCATTTTTATCTATGAGATACCTATACCATATTCTGTTCACATAAGTCTTAGAGTATTTTTAAAAATCCAGTATAGCTTTAGGCATAATAATCAGGACTAAATGAAGGTTTGTTTGCGTCCCCCCTGCCCAAATAAAGGTGCCATATTGTTTTTCTGTTCATTTGGTCACAATCTAAATTTTCTCCAGAAAGCATATTGATTAAGGTGCACCAAGACTATAGAAGCTATAATATTCTGAAATTCTACAAAGGATGACAAGAGCACAGGTATGTTAGCAAGTTACCTGTGGGCTAGAGTGCTTGAACTTTTCTGCAGTGAATGACAGGATATAGCCCTGCCTATAGATTGCTAGATCACAAGTCAGAAGAATTAACATAGACTGAGGAGCTTCGATTTGAAATAACTGGTAATTTAGTGAACAAATGGCTGAGGTTGGAAGGATTTCCTCCCAATCTTCAGCCTCAGGCTTGATTGCAGAACTGTGCCAATCTAAGATATGGAAGGACATCAAGGGAACAAATATAACCTACACATCCTCTTTATGTTTGTTACAAACACGGCTACTTCTTTGACTGATGGTCTCTATCTTTCCTGAAGCAAATACAAAATGTGAAATTCAGCGTCAAAGAGGAAAGATTAATCAGTAAGATTTCAAATAAACAGTTTACTTAATGAATTTAATTTTCTATTGCTATAATCTAGATTTCTGATGACATTTTTGGGGGATCATTTTGTGCATAAAACATGGCTGCTGTAGTATTTTATGTTGCTAGACAATTTTCTTGCATTTTCTGCAGTATCTTTCTAAAAGGAGTATCAACTATAATTTTTACGTATGGACACCTGAGACTAGAAAATGAGTTTGATTTGCTTCTCTCATACAGTGTAAGAGTATAGATAGATAGATACATAGATAGATAGATAGATAGATAGATAGATAGATAGATAGATAGAGATATTATATAATGGAGGTTGAAATACATATATATACATATATATATATATGCCCAC